GGCTGGCAGTGACTCCTTCTGCCTTCCTGTTCTTTCTTTTCTCCTCTCTGTTAGTCCCGCCTATACTTCCTGCCTGACCACTGGCCAATCAGTGTTTTATTTATTGACCAATCAGAGCAACAGATTTGACATACAGACCATCCCACAGCATTGATGTGTATATTTTAACAGTTTTCCATAGTTCTGTAACTTAGGTCTCTTCACTTCAGTGAAACATTTGGGCAGAGGTTCTGCCTCCTCATTTGACTGAAAGTACATTTACCTCTAGGGTGTCAGCATATATTTCAAGAAGGCTGATGGAAACCATTGGCATGAGGAAGAGAAAAACATAAACACTCCTGTGAATTGTCTAGTCCTCTAGAGATGACTTAGCAGTACATGAGAGTCATAGGAGGGTCATACACGTAACGTAGATTTCCCCAAGGCTGAACTGAAGTGAAGGAGAACAGTCTCGTTTAAACATCAGAGAACTGAAATCTGAAAGTACTCCAAACTTCCTCACATTGTTAGAGTGGGCCAGACTGTTAGCCTAAAAATAGTCATCATCAGATCATCGTGGTGACAATAGAAATAGTGGATGTGCTTAGCTGGAGGGTAAAAGAAAGACCGAGGGGTCAGATGAAGGGAAGCTCAGAGTCTCACACAGGACGGCTTCACTGAGGAGCTGCCCTGGGAGGGGCACATGACCATTTTTCTTTCTTTCTAGCTTCACAGAATGAATATGCACCAGTGAAATCCTTCTTCTGCAGAATCTGGTAAGTAAAGGATGTGGAGGCTCAAAACGTGGCTCTAATTTCTATTCAACTGTTATGGTGACTCTTTTATATTCAGCTGGATTCTGTCCTGCATACAACAAAATGAGACAAAACAAACAAACAAAAACCCTCTTGATTCTTGCCATAAGAACTTGTATGTGGTTGAGAAGAAAAATAAAAGCACTGAAAGATAATTGCTAGACCCTTCTGACATCAGAGCCCTGGTTTGAAGTAAACAATAAAACAACTGTGTCTTGAGGCCCATTTTGCCTGCTTTTTTTTTTTCAGTCACATTTAAAAAGTTAATTTTTTAAATTTCTCCACACCTACCTCTCAGTTCTTAGAATTTTTAGTAGCAGGGCTTAAAAAGACAGTGATCTAGAAGAAAATTGAGCATACTTTAACAGGAGTGACTTCTTGTAGATAGTTGTTGCCCTCTGAACAAACTACTATAATGTTGCTTTCATAGTAAAAAGAAAGAAAAATATTTTGAGACAGTGTTTGTGTAGCCCTGACTGTCCTAGAACTCATTCTATAGACCAAGCTGGCCTTGAACTTACAGAGATCCACCTGTCTCTGTCTCCTGAGTGCTGGAATTAAAGGTGTGCACCATCATGCCTAGCAAGAAAAAACATTTTTAAGTGTCACACTTGTTAATATTAGTATTGATGGTAGTAACTACTCCAGATGTTTATAGAAAGAAAAATGTTTATAATGGAAATAACCAGATATGCTGTAAAACCGGGGGTTGGGGGTGGATGGTATTGAGCTAATAGTGTTTGTGTGCATGGAAGGGCTGTGTGGTTTACTGTGTCATTCACAAGTGTGTTTATCAAGAGCATGCCTGGAATGCAGTAAATATGTGTATGTGGATTGAGGGGGTGGGGTGGTCACTGCAGGTATCATACAGGGAAGCTAACCCCACGAAGAGATAAGAATGAAAACCTGGTACAGATAGACTTTGTCAACCTGGATCAGACTTCAGGGAGTCTAACAACAGGCAGTTTATTCCCAATACAATTTGAAAACAGAAGTTTCCTGGTGTAAGACTCTCTTCAAAGCAAATTTTTGTTCCTGTGTACTTAAATTCTGTAAGCAGGAGACCAATAATATATAAATATAAATGTGCCCATTAGCAACAAATTCAGGACAAGAAAGTGAGTTCTGGACAGTGGAGAAATTGGTGTTCTATTTAGTCACTTTGTCTGGTCTTCTGTTGTAACAGAATCCCTAAGACTGGCTAGTTTGGAAAGAAGAAATGTGTGTTTGGGCTTGCAGTTCTGGGAGCCGGAGAGCATGAAGACAGTGTCTGCTTGGCACTGGGCAAAAAGGCAGAGGGAGCCAGACACCATAACAAGCAGCTCTCACCAAAGTTAACCAACTGACAGGGACTGCTTTAATCCCTTCATTATGGTGGTGCTGCCTTTACCCCTTAGAGCCCTGCATTGCTCACCACCACTGCACCGACAGTTGGCTTTGACACGTACTTTGGTGGTGACAAAGCACCAGACTGATGAAAGAACTCTTCTCTGAGGAATCCCAGTTGCAGCCAGTGACCTGAAGAAGGTGAAGGAGTAAGCTGGGCAACTTTCAGGAAGTTCCTGAGGAAGCATCGTCCATGTGGAAAGGGCAGAAGTGCAAAGGCTCTAGGGTAGAACAGAAGGGAAGAGAGGAAGGTAGATAAAGAGGCAGGGACTAGATCACAGGAACTTCACTTTCAGAGGAAGTATTTTGTTGAGATTAACTATTTTCAAACCTTTTCCTTAGACTTTTCTAACCTAACAAAAGCAGAGAAAATAGTATAATGAACCAATATGTTGTTGGTTTTGCTCTTTTGGGGGGCCCCGCCACCCAGCTCCCAAATAAATCACACATGGAGGCTTATTCTTAATTAAGAATCACACCTGGCCTTAGCTTGGCTTGCTTCTAGCCAGCTTTCCTTAACTTGAAATTAACACATCTACCTTTTGCCTCTGGGCTTTTCCCATTCTCTTCTGTAAATCTTACTCTTATTCCATGGCTGGCTGTGGAGCTGGGTGGCTGGCCCCTGGAGTCCTCCTCATTCTCACGCCTTCTTCCTTTCTTCCCAGATTTCTCCTATTTATCCTCTCTGCCTGCAGCCCCGCCTATTTCTCTCTCCTGCCTCACCATTGGCTGTTCAGCTCTTTATTAGACCATCAGGTGTTTTAGACAGGCACAGTAACACAGCTTCACAGAATTAAACAAATGCAAAATAAACAAAAGTACACATTTAAAATAATATTCAACAACACTTCCCCCTTTCGTCTAAATAAAAAGAAATGTTTTAACTTGAAAATAGTGTAACTACATACAACAAAAACAGTTATCAAGTAAGAATTAATTTACAATATTCAGTACATTTGTAGTTAGCATATTTGGAGAAAATAATGCATCTTCTATCTTAGTGAATCCAAAGTTTTACACCTAATTTACTTTCTATCATTACTAAGGAAAACTGCAACTATAACTATCTAGTCTTCAACTCCATCAAAGACCTAGAGGATGAGGATGTAATATTATCTAACAACAGAGACATTTGGCTGCCTGGACAGTCACCCAAAGTTCCTCTGCAACATTGGGGCATCCATCTTCAGCCTACTAGTAGGTCCAGATTATCTGGCAAACTTTTCAGTGAAGCAGGAAATTTGAAAGACTATCCTGCCTTGTTTTGGCAAAGTTTAGCAGTCACTTTCCTGTGTGTCTTGCAGAATATCTGGCAGACTCTTCTGTAAAGCAGGAACTGTGAAGGACTGTCCTGCCTTGTTTGGGCAAAGTTCAGCAGTCTTTTCCCTGTGTGTCCTGCATGTCCAGTCTGCACAGCACATTGTCAGCAGTCAAAGGCAAGAGTAGTTTTTTTTTCCTAGTGGCTAATCTTGCCACGATGAAAGCAAACTCTGTAAGGGATTTCTTCAATGCCCATCATCTCTGAAGCAAATTAATGCTTCCAGGAGCAGATGTGTCTCGTTGTCATGAAAAACTTTAGGTTAACAAAACATTTTAAATGTCATATTCAGGCTAGACACTAGCTGTTCTTCCAGAGGTCCTGAGTTCAATTCCCAGAAACCACATGGTGGCTCACAACCATCCATAATGAGATCTGGTGCCCTCTTTTGGCCTGCAGGCATACATGGAGGCAGAACTCTGTGTACATAATAAATAAATCTTTAAATAGCATATTCTGTAGGTCTTTGAAAGGTTTGAAGACTATCTAAAATATGTCTCTATATAACCTAGAAAGCATACCTTACATATATACAATTTTGGTTGTTACAAATGCCCAATCACTAACCTATGTTCCTGATTCTCCTATATAGTTTATAATAATAGCTTTCAAAAACTAGAACTTCACCCTAAATTTCCAAATGAACTGCATAGTCACAATACCTCAAACAAAAATAGAAATATACATACACTATGCTGTAACAAAAATAACCTTAAATTTTTATCAATATACAAAAATCCTTTAAACAAGAGTGAAATCTACAGACCCTGTAACAAAAATAACTTTAAATTTTTATCAATATACTATATTCCCCTAAATGATAACAAATACTCATAACCCACCAAATAACCCAAAACCACCACACCCTCCAACTCTTGGGAATGTGGGCATGGTTTTCTCTAAACTGCCTCCTGCTGTCTGTGGACGAAGTATTTAGAGTCCCAGAGAGAAAATTTGAGATAATGGCCAAGTCCTGGGAAGACCAGGTCTAACCTTTGTTAATAGATACTACCAATCAAGATTCAGGAGGTCTCCCTTGATTACTCCTGATCCATATTGTTCCTGAAGGAATCCACAACCTCTCATCTCCTGTGGGAACAAAACTCCAAAGCACTTTTGATTTCCATCTGAAAAATACATTTTTGACTTCTTTTTTAAAGTTAAGATAGCCCTCAAATATCTAGGTTGGCTCAATTTTGCAGTCATATTCACAGTTCTATGTCTGCCAGCAGCTATTGTTTGCTTATCAATAATCAAAAAATTCAAAACACAATAACATACAGGATTCAGGCTCTCTGTGTATTTCCCATCTCTACATGGCTTATACTTTTTTATTATTTTACTTCTCTCTTTAAAGACTTTATTACTTAACTGTTCTTTTTTTTTTTTTCTATGACTATACCCTTTTTTTTTCTCTGTTCCTTAAGCCTATGCACATTCTAAAACACACTGGAACCTGTTTAGAAGGTTTTTTTTGTTTTGTTTTGTGTTGTTTATCTAAACCTGTTTTATTGCATATCTTTTAGCCATTTTTGACCCTGTGAGCAAACCTTTAACTGTTAAGCAGCGTGGACCTCTGCCTGCTGCTTTGGCCGCTGGTCTACCCACTTCTCAGGTCATGAAAGCCAAGCCTAAAGCTCATGGCCCCCTTAGAGGTTCTTGACTAAGGACTGCGTTCAACCTACCTAGTTATGGGAGCCAGTACCTGCTTTGCCACAAGCAGTTTTTACTTAGCTTCCTGCTTTTATTTAGTGCTGCTAGCTGAACAGCAATGTCTCTTGAAGGAACCATAACCTTTTTCTATTTTCTTTTTCTTTCAGCTTTCTTAGGCCCTACATGGAAATACAGACCCCACATTAGGTGCCAAAATGTTGTTGGTTTTTGCTCTTTTGGGGGAGGGGCCACCACCCAACTCCCAAATAAATCACACACAGAACCTTATTCTTCATTATGAACACCTGGCCTTAGCCTGACTTGCTTCTAGCTAGCTTTCCTTAACTTTAAATTATCCCATCTACCTTTTGCCTCTGGGCTTTTCCTGTTCTCCTACTTCTGTAAACCTTGCTCTTATTCCATGCCTGGCTGTGTAGCTGGGTGGCTGGACCCCGATGTCCTCCTCTCCTCTCACTCCTTCCTTTCCTCTCAGATTTCTCCTCCTGTATATTCTCTCTGCCTGCCAGCCCTGCCTGTTTCTCTCTCCTGCCTCACCATTGGCTGTTCAGCTCTTTATTAGACCATCAGGTGTTTTAGACAGGCACAGTAACACAGCATCACAGGGTTAAACAAATGCAACATAAACAAAAATAACACACTTGAAAATATTTTACAACACCAGTGTGTTCTAATTGCCCAGCTATAAGTCACAGCCAGCCTGGTGCCATCTGTTTCTCCTCCAGATCCTTCCCTCTGCTTTCTTATCTCAACCTCAGACCTGCTTAGTATTTCAGAATATTTCTAAAAGGCAAAGTTACCATTCACCTCATGGTGGTGAAACTGTCCTGTCTTTGACCAGTCGAGATACTGTTAGGGTAGCTGCCCCACCCTTGTGGCAGTATCTACATGGTCTTTGACAGCCTCCTTTGCTTTTAGTCATGAGACATCCCGGACTGAACGTAGACTTTTTTACCCCAGACTTAAGAGCCATCATTTCTCCAGGTATCCCCTGTTGCAGGTGGAGAGAAATGGCATTACCATTGAGACCTCGTCTGATGAGGGGTCGGTCCTTACTGCAGGGCTGCCAGTGTTTGTGGACCTTGCTAGGAGGTTTCATTTTCAAGAAAGCATATTTTGCATTAGAAAGGACTATGGGCTGCTGTGTGCAGGACTAGGTCAGCTGGAAAGGCTTGGGTTGTAAAGTCAGGCTAGTGAGGTGGTGGGAGAAAAACTTTTAGATGCTTTACCGGCACTTATTAATGGGTTAGAACCGGGATATCATATAAAAAGGAGTAAGGGATGGCAAGAGAAATCTTGGGTGGAGATATTTGAAGCCCAGGAGCATGTAGCAAAAGCACCTTGGAGAGGTGCTTAGTGTGTCTCAGTTGATCTCGGTCTACATTGAGACTGTATGAGAACCTAGTTCTAGGTAGAGGTACAGGCCAGCACGTAGTATGTAGGACAAATGTATATAATGGCAAGCTTGAAGCAGCTCTTCATAGCAATAGGAGGGAAGGTGGACAAATACAAGAATGAACTCTTGTGTGTTTGGGGGAAGGCCCTCATCCAAATGACTAAAGTAAGAAGCAAGGTCATAGGACTGAGGGTGGCTCTGGCAGTTCTGAGACTGCCTTGAGACTAGGGGTCCCTAATCCAGATTAAGTTAGAAGAGAGGCTTGATTGCAGACAAAGAGGACAGTTAGACTCCACAGCATGGTGGCATGTCTCAGTAGCAATGCAGGAGAAACCTTGTTGCTCATCCTCAGAGCTGCCTCAGAACTGAGAAGGGGTCTGGCTCTACTCCAGAGGCCAGGTTGGCAGCTAGGTTTTAATGCCCTTTTCACCAGGCAGGCATTTTACAGGACAGTGCTTACCTTCAAGCCAAGCCTACAGCAGCCAAGGAGGAGCAGAATCTTTGAGACTGAGTCAGTTCTTTAAAATACTGAAGAGGGGTGCCCTAGAGTTGGGTTGGGCCATATGATCACATGGGACCCCATTTTTTCTTTATAGTGCTTGGTGTACCTCACAGTGGAAGGGTACAAGTCCACAGGAGTTTGGGGCGTGGTCATGAGCAGGTCATGGGTAGGGTGACTCTCACAGTGATGTAAGCAGTCCTCCATAAAACTGCCTACGCAGTGCATAGTTAATGTGTGTTATTGTCCAGGGGTACTGAGATTTCAAGCTAACCTTCCCTTGGTGGAGACAAACATCTCTAAACATTTTAGATCTGGGTCTTTCTGTCTTGGGAATTACCAGTGGGCATTCCCAGCCTTTTCACACAGGGCTGAGTGCGTCAGGACCAGCTCTAATGACCTTTGATCTCTTCAGTGGAGGTGAAGACAGAGCACAAAAGAAGCATTACTCTCCATTCCGGATCCTCCCCTATTTGGTTCACGTACACAGCTCTGCCCAGCCAGAACCAGAGCCTTGCTGTCTAGCACTGGTTGAGAGGATTCACTCTGGTTATGAAGGTAAGTCGGGATGTCCTATGCCCGTTGGAAGCAGAATGCCAGTGTTCAGACAGGAGCATGGGGATAGCTGTTTCTATAGTTCTAGGACAGAAGACTGCTTCAGGTCCAATATGGGCATAAACTCTGTAAGCACTTCTAGCTGATGTTTATTGATGTCATCACTGCTTAGTGACCTTGACTTCCTGTGCTGTCACAGTGTGGCTTTGTGGTCTGTGCCTCACACTTGGATAGATATGTAGTACTTTAGTCCCTTCTCAACAGGTGACCTGTTCTATGGTCTTTTATATCTGTCTTGTATGAAATAATAGCACTAAAATCATTACAGGAAGAAGCCACAAGAATGATTGAATTTGCCGGGTAGCACATGCCTTAAGAGACTGAGGCATGTATGCCCTGGGCTACGCAACAAGTTCAAGGCTAGCCTGGGCTACATAGTGACTACCTGCCTCAACAAAGCAAAAGCTGGAGGTGTAGCACATTGGTAGAGTGCTTGCCATGCTGTGTAACTACAAGGCCCTGGGTTTGATTCTCAACACATGATGGAGCAGGGAGACAACATATTCTAGAAGTGTTTCAAAACTTCCAGAAATTACAGTATGTATATTCAGTAAACAGAAATATATTTCTAAACTTCCTTATGGGCAGCTTCCAATTACTACTTAAAAAAAAAAAATCACAGTTGGTTCTGATGAGACATGATATATGCTTTCCTACAAATTGCCACCCGATGAGTCACCATAAAAACAGGACTATTGGAAAAATTAGTTCAGGGGCACAGTGATCAAAAAGTTAATTACATTAAAAAAAAGGATAAAGGGCCTAAAGAGATACATACCTCAGCGGTTAAGAGCACTGGCTGCTCCTCAGTACACCCAGGTTCAAGTCTCAGCACCCACATGATGGCTCACAATTGTATGTAACTCCAGTCTAGGGTATCTCACACACACCGTCTTCTGACCTCCTCATGTAGTCACATGCAGACCAAACACATATGTACATAAAATTTTCTTTTTAAAGGAAATCATAAAACTATTGATTTACACGTTAAACATTAACAGCAGCCTGGTCCTCACGCCTTATATACCTTTCTGCCTTCTACTATCACTCCCTGGGATTAAAGGCTTGCTTTCTGGGATTAAAGGTGTGAGTCACCATGCTTGGCTGTATCCTTGAACACATGGATTTCTGCCTCTGGAATGCTAGGATTAAAGGCGTGTGCTACCACTGCCTATCCTAAGTATCTAGTGGCTTTTCTGTTCTCTGACCCCAGATAGGTTTATTAGGGTACACAATATTTTGGGGAACACCTTACCACCACATTACTATAAATGTGGCTTGGGCACGGAGGTAGCAACGGACAGTTGAAGTGTATGCGTGGTGTATGTACTCCTGAGAGCTCCGCTGTCTGCCGTTTTATGCATTCACTGAGGTTTCTTGCAATTGAAGTCATCATGTTGAAGGAACTGGGATGTAAGCCTATTTTCAGAGTATTGCCTGCATTTTTCAGTGCACATTTTAGAGCAGAGCTTACCTAACTTGGTACCAATTTTATTACATGACAAATTGCTTTAGTCCTATTTCAAGTGTTTTTGTTTAGTTATACACTGCCACCAAAGAATACTCAGTCCCTTCCTTACCCCCCTTTAACTATTAGATATTTATGATAAAGAAATTAGCTATTTATAATGTAACAGACTTTCTGTGTTTAACCATAATGTAGTCATCACATATTAACCTCATCAAAATCAAGTTAATAATGAAATTATTGTTTTACTGTAGCTTTGACTTCATGGCAGTCAGACCTTAGATTTAAGTTAGATTTCTGCCATTTCATATGGAGATTTTACTCCTTGTATGTTTAGTAGCTAGTTCAGTAGATGATTAATTGGATGTTTGACCCTTAATCAGTATTTCTCCTTTCTTAATAGCTCCTCGAATCCCTGTAGATAAAAGAATTTTTACCACAACACACACCCCAGGATGTGTGTTTCTTGAAGTAGATGAAAGGTAAATAATTCTTTGAGCCTAAAAGAAATTTGTTTCCGAAGACAGACCAAGGTCTGCGTTACTCTTTGCGTACTGTTCTGTATCCTGTGACACTGTCGGTTTGCCTGTGTGGTTCGTGCTGGTGACAGTGCAACTTCATTTGAGTCCTCTTAAATATATTTTCAAATTGTGTGTGTGCATGTGCATGTGTGCGCCATGCACATTTGGGGTCAGAGGCCACCTTTCTCGTGTTTGGTCTCACCTTCTACTGTGTGGGCCTCAGGGATCCAGCTCAGGCCAGCAGGCTAGGCAGCAAGTACTTTTACCTGTTGGCTGAATTTTAGTGTAAACATCTTGCACATTGTATTTTTAAAAGTGATCTATGTGATGCCTGACTAGATTTCATAGCGTTGAGGCTCAGGTGGTGCAGGTGTTATTACTTTACATAAGCCAAGGACCAGTTCTGACTACTCGATTTAGGACCAAGACTCAACTCCTTTAGCATTTACTCTAGTGGTATTTCCATTTGACAAATGCTGCTCAAATAAAATTTATGCTAAATATTGTAATTATTCTGAAGAGGAAGAAAGAGAACATGTCTTTAATAAAGGATAATGTTTAAGAATTTTTCTCTATTTTGAACGCATATAACCTTTCTTTTTGAGGACAATTTTAAAATGATCTTTTATTTTTTTAACATAGTGATAGTAGATGGTGGTTACTGCTGGTTTTCAGTATTTTTTTTTTTTTTAGAAAAAAAAATTATTTACTTTATGTGTACAGGTGTTTTGCCTGCATGTATGTCTGTACCATGTGTGGAAGCATTTTAAGGAGGACAGAAGACAGCTTCAGATCCCCTGGAACTGGAGTTACAGATGGCTGTGAGCCACCATCTGGGTTCTGAGAATCGAACTCAGGTCCTCCAGAAGATCAGTCAGTGCTCTTAACTGCTGAACCATCCCTCCAGCTCTGATTTTTTTTAGTTTTTTTTTTTTTTGTTTGTTTGGATAAAGCAAATGTTGGCGGGGCAGTGTTGGTGCACACCTTTAATCCCAGCACTTGGGAGGCAGAGGCAGGAGGATCTCTGTGAGTTCAAGGCCAGCCTGGTCTATACAGTGAGTTCCAGGACAGCCAAAGCTATTACACAGAGAAACCCTGTCTCAAAAAAACAAAATGTTGTTATCGTATTAGTCTATGCAACCCCACATACATACATTTATTTTAGAATTTTACTTATTTTTGAAATTTGAAAATCTGAGAATAGGAAGGACTAAGCCATGCGTTAGTATAAAGCAGAGCACAGAACACGTTTACGGAGTCTTTTATCTAAGTCAACCTTCCCAGGCTTCTGTGAGTATCAGAGTGATTGGTGCCTTTGGATACTATATTTGATTTTGACATTACATTGTATTCAATTCTTATTAGTCATGTTTTTGTTCATCAGCCTTTGTTACTGTGGTAGAGTACTGGAAATGACCAGCTTGTAAGGAGGAAGGAAAGGTTTAATGACTGTTGAGTTTCAGGCCATGATCACTTGGCTGTCTCCATTGCCTTGAGACCTCTGGTGGGTCAGGACATCATGGTGAAGTTAATCTACTTCCTTCCTGGGACCAGGAGATAGAGGGAAGACAGGGCAGGAACCTGAATGCAGGAACTGTGGAGGAATGCTGCTTGCGGGCTCACTCCCTGACTCCCCCATGGCCTCATGTTTTGCTAGCTTTCTTACACAGCCTGGGACCACCTGCCCAGGAAATGACACTGCCCACTCCAGACAGGGCACTCTTACATTAAGACAGTTGAGGCAGTCCCTCACAGACATGTCCAAAGACTAGCCTGATAAAGACAGTTATTCAATTGAGACTTCCTTTAGGTGATTCTAAGCTGGGTCAGATTGACTAGGCCTATAGGTGTACCCCAGTACCCTAACTTCTTTCCACTGTACTAACCTTGGGGGACAGTCAAGGTCCACACTACACTACTGCTGTGTACACTATACTACACTAACGCTGTGTACACTACACTAATGCTGTATAAATTTATAGCCCACATTATCCTTGGCATCCTTCTGTTACCTATGCTCTTTCTAAATGACAACAAAGAGCACAAGACTCCTGAGGAACTTGCTAGAAATTCATGTCCAGCTTCTGACTCCAGAGCTTCTGATTCATACATTCACAGTGAGCCTGCAAGCCTGTTCTTAGGGAATGAGATGATTGTGATATAACATGTCAGGTGACTATTGGCATAGTTAGCTTGTATCTGTTCCCCATAGCACAGGCACTTAGGTTTTTGTTTCATGGATGTGTTAATGGACATCTTTTCATCTTCTTCCTTTTTAGAATTAAATAGAGAAGTTAGGGTTTGGTGGTGATGTTTCATTTTGCAGAGTGGGAGATAGAATTATTATGTATACTAAGCACATAGTTTCTGGCTGAGTTATATTGCCAGCCTGAGTGGGTATTTTTAAATATATAAAAACGCCTTAACTACTTGCTCAGTGTAACATGCTTCCTATGCTGTGTCCTGTGCCCCAGGGCAGTGCCTTTGCTGGGTTACCTACCTCAGGATCTGATTGGAACATCGATCTTAACATATTTGCACCCAGAAGATCGGCCTCTGATGGTTGCCATACACCAAAAAGGTGGGGCCTGCTCCTTTATGGAAGTTGTCATTTGCCACTGATTTTTCAGTTCATTTCTCATTAGAGTTTAGCCTTTATCCAAATAAAAGAATGGTTAAAACTGCTAAAGTAATTGTTTCCTGCTTTAAAGTGCTGAAATCCCAAGTAGATAACTGAAGCAGGACACTTGCAATCTTGCCTGTGTAAGATTTGGTTGTAATCTTTTTGCTTTATGTAGTTTTAAAGTATGTGGGCCATCCTCCATTTGAACACTCGCCCATCAGATTCTGCACTCAGAATGGAGATTATGTCATTCTGGATTCCAGCTGGTCCAGCTTTGTGAACCCCTGGAGCCGGAAGGTTTCCTTCATCATTGGCCGACATAGAGTTCGAACGTAAGTTCATCAGTTGCTGCTGTGGGGTACACAGGTGAGTGGGGCAAATGTCACCTGTCATGGGAAAATGGACATGGTTGAGTATAAGGTCCTGAATTCAGGTTTTGTTTCTACTTTCATGGCACTACCAGCACTCTGATTTTTCTGATAATGATCGCAATCTTGGGTGGTGGTTCAGCTTTTAGGTCACTATAGCTGTACTGTAGATCTGTAACTCCAGGTCCAGGGGATCCAGTGTCCTCTCCTGGCCTATGCAGGTTCCAGGTATGCTCATGGTGCACAGACATACACTCAGGCAAATACCATACACACAACATTTTAAAGATTTAATTTTATATGTACAAGTGTTTTGCTTATGTGTGTGTGTGTGTGTGTAGAGTGTGTGCTTGGGGCCCAGGGAGGCCAGAAGAGGACACTGGATCCCCTGGAACTGGAGTTACAAACTCTTGTAAGCAGCTATGTGAGTGTTGGGAACCAAACCCAGGTCTTCTTCAAGAGCTGAAAGTGTTCTTTTTGTTGTTGTTGTTTTTCGAGACAGGGTTTCTCTGTGTAGCTTTGGAGCCTGTCCTGGATCTCACTCTGTAGACCAGGCTGGCCTACAACTCACAGAGATCCACCTGCCTCTGCCTCCCGAGTGCTGGGATTAAAGGCGTGCGCCACCACCGCCTGACCCGAAAGTGTTCTTAACCATGCAACCATCTCTTCAGCCTCTGACTTTGCTGTTTCTTGGTTAGTTCTTCCATCCAGCCTGGGCTGGGCAAGCGTTCTCCCACTGGGCCAGATCATCACCCAGTCTCACACTATGCCAGGCATAATGCCTGCATTATAAGACTTGATGAGGTGATATATCTGACTCAGTATTCCTCATTGGTACCCACTCTACCAAGGCCCCAAGAGGTAGTTTCATGTCATGACAAATGTGTAAACCTCGGTACCTAGACTGGTGGTCCCTCCCCTATCTCTCCTCTCCCCGTAATAACGAGGGGACCTGGGGAAGGTTGACGTCCCATTGAAGGGATGATACTTGAAACAATGACTATCACTCTTTAGGGCAGTGGTTCTTAACCTTCCTAATGCTAGGACCCTTTAGTACAGTTCTTCATGCTATGGTGACCCCCAACCATAAAATTATTTTGTTGCTACTTTATTTATTTATTTTGCCACTGTTATGAATTGTAATGTAAATATTTTGGAGATAGGAGCTTGCCAAAGGGTCGCAACCCTCAGGTTGAGAAGCGCTGCTTTATGGCCCTCGAAGATGTTATTTTCATATTCTTAAAATCTAGCACAGTTTTTTAGGAGGAGGTCCTAATAAATGTTAGTTTCTTGTCTTTGTTATCTTTGTTGGCATTCACTGTATTCAGGTAGTAATTCTTATTTTGTTTTTTAATTTATCGTGCAAGATGGGATACAATGACATGACACACATATAGAGCTCAGAGAACATCTTGTGTGGGTATCCCTTTCACTGAGGGTTCTGAGGTCAATCTCCAGTCATAAGCTTGCACAACCAATGATTTTACCATCTCAGTGGGCCATTGTAAATCCTCTGAAGTTTGTTGATGAGCTGGGAGGTAGTATTGCGACTGCCTCCTTTTCACCACTAGGGTGGGCTGTAGAGTCATCTTTATCAGGCAGCATAGGTGATTAGCAGCTTAAATTTTATTTATTTATTTGTTTATTTATTTATTTATTTTTGGTGGTTTTTTTTTTTGTTTTTTTGTTTTTTTGGTTTTTTTTTGAGCCAAGGTTTCACCGTGTAGTTCTGGCTGTCCTGGAACTCACTCTGTAGACCAGGCTGGCCTCAAATTCACAGAGATCCTCCTGTCTCTGCCTCCCAAGTGCTGGGATTAAAGGGGTGTGCTGCCACATCCAGCTAAGTTTTTTTAAGTTTTATTTTTACTATTTTTTAAATTATGTGTAGGTTAGGAATATATACCTGCATGTGGGTGTGTACAAGTACCCTTGGAGGCCAGAGGCCTCACATCCCCTAGGAGCTGGACATATAGATGGTTATGAGTCACCTGACATGGGTGTAGGGATCAAACTTAGGTCCTCTGGAAGAGCAACAGGAACTCCTAACCACTGAGTCGTCTCCAGCTCAGATTTAAGCATTAACTGCCTGGCAACTTCAGGGTCTTAACGAATACTGAGAAGTCCACTCAGTCAAATTTTGAAACCAGTCTTTACTGAACCTCTTAGGAGCAAAAGAAGTATCTTATCACTGTTTTTATGAATACAGGTACATTTACTAAATTTATACATACACACACACACACACACACACACACACACACACACACACCCCTGAACATGTTACACAAAGATCAGTGTTGCAGAGAAACTTAAACTGTACCAGGTGTTTGCCTATAATCCCAGTTCTTAGGAGGCAGAGATAGGAACAAATGCTCCAGGCTAGCCTGGGCTAATTGTAGCAAGACTTTGACTCAAAAAAAACAAGGGCTGAGGATGTAGCTTAGTAGTGGAGTGTTTTCCCAGCATGTACAAGGTCCTGTGTTCTGTCCCCAGGACCATGCAGGTTGGAGACTGTTGTGTCTAGTTTGTTTCTTTGGGAATTTTAACCCCATATTTTCTGTATCTAGAGTTAAGGAGCTATTTCATCAAAACATAGCTTATTCTTTAAATGGTACTTTATCTTCATTTTAATAAATTCAGTTTCTTGGCTCATTGTTTCTCTTGGCGTTTTATAGGAGCCCATTAAATGAGGATGTTTTTGCTACCAGAATAAAAAAGGCAACCAATAACAACAAAGATATAACAGAATTACAAGAACAAATTCACAAACTTCTCTTGCAGGTAAAGTGAGAGATTTTTAAAACACATCATTCGCAAAATTGTGTTTTATGTTAGTTCGGTCTTAGTAAAGTCATAAGAACACAGTGAGGAGAAAGTCTTTACCTCTACATCTTAGAAATGTTTGCTTTTCCCTGTGCTTCTATGGATTAGGTTCTGGTCACTTTGTTCCTTATTCTGTGTGAGATGCACAGGCCCCTTTGGCTGCACTCACCTCAGCCCAGCACCTGGGCTGTAGTGACGGGGCAGACCCTTGACTTCTTGCTTTCTTCATGAGAGAATTCTTCTTATGCTTCAGACATCAGCAATGTGCTCAGCTCCCGAGTTTGTGCTTCAGTGTTTTTTAAAATAATTCAGTTTTTAAAAGTAGAAGAGAGATATGATTGGTCTCAGTATCTCTTGCCATTATAAGGGAAGAACAAGGAAATGACCTATTGAAAAGAGCAACCAAAGATGGGTTCTGTTAGTAAATAGAGTTGAGTGTGTCCCCACATAGAATATGAACCCAGAGGTTTTCCAAAATGTCTTTGATAAAATCTCTAGGGTTCGTAAAGTGTCTGAAGTTTTTAAAGAACTAAAGTTTGTTTTATTTCATTAAATTATCTGATTTACAAAAAATCAGTTATCTTATGGCATCTAAAAGGACGAAGTGCTGTAATCCCCACCTAGACTAGAAAGTTAGGCTCTGCCCTGGGAATAGGAAGGACTGAGGCATGGCTCACACCAGCATCCAGGCTAACAGCTCTTAGCTTTGTGGTGATTGTAGATTAGAAGCTCTGAGGAGAGTATCCTTACCACTTACACAGCAGTAACTGAACTGGGCCCCTTCCTTCTAGCCGGTTCATGCCAGTGCTTCTAGTGGTTATGGGAGCCTGGGCAGCAGCGGCTCACAGGAGCAGCACATCAGCATCACCTCTTCCAGTGAGGCAAGTGGACACTGTATGGAGGAAGCACAGAAGGAGCAGGTGTGTGGCAGATGTGTTTTTGTGCAGATGCAACGTGTCTGTCTTGGTCCTGCACCTGGTGACATCTTGGGATTTGTCATTTGACAACTTTCTATTTATTTTAGAAAATGATTTGAATGGATCTAGATAAATGTCTGTAAAAAGAAAGTCTGAGATAGGCTTGGTGGCACACACTTATAATTTCAGCAGTCGGAGGGAGAGCACGAGCCCAGAGGCCGGCTGGGTTGCATGGTAAGGACCCTGTCTTGTAGAGGAAAAAAATCACCTTTGCAAGGTGACCCTCAGATTAATTGTGTGCTTTTCTAAAAGCAGTGTGCCATATAGGTGGATGTACAGTTTGATTGGCATCAGTGTGCCATGGATAGGTGGATGTAC